ACCGGGTCTGGGACTCGAACCACGGTCGACTACATAGGAGTCCAACAATGTAACTATTACGCCATCTGCTAGTTCCATTATTATTTTAATTTGACCAGAGAGAGAGAGAGAAAGAGAGAGAGAGAGAGAGAAAGTGAGAAAGCAAGCCGCCAGGTCTAGGACTTGAACTGTGGTCGGCCATGTGGAATCCAGCACCTTACCCACTGTGCCACCTGCCGGCTCCATCTCAGTGCTAGGTCTTAACGCAGCACGAAGCCCCTTCCTAGGTAGAAGCAGCATATTCCCAGACTCCCCAGCCCCCCAAATACGCTCTGTTCTCTCCAACTGCCCAGACTTGGGCGTTTCTGTTAGTAGCAACGGAAGGAACCAGAATGGCCCTTCATGGAAGGAAAGAGAGCTCGCTGGGCCCCATGGGGTCCTCAGGCGGCCCGGGGCCCGGCTTACCTGGTGGCTTCTTTTCTTTCGGCCTGGCACCGAGGGTGCTGGGATCAGCAGCAGAAGGCTTCCTATGAAAGAGGAGAGGGAAAAGTCTTACTGGCACAGGGAGGTCAGCGAGGAGCTTCCGCCGGCTGGGGCTTCCTCTGCACAGCCCAGGTGTCAGCGCTGCCCAGAGACAGCGTCTGCGAGATCGGGTTACTGCATCCAACGGTGGCAAAGGAAGCCCAGCCCCGGGTCATGTAGGCCCCAGGACAGAGCCAAACGCCTGAGCTGAGGGGGACAGGAGGGACAAGAGCTCCGTGGCTTCTCGGCCACTTGGTTAGGATCAAGCATAGCCATCTATTCTTTTTTATTTTTATTTTTTAAAGAATTATTTATTAGGCCGGCAGGTGGAGTGGTGGTTAAGGGTGCTGGACTCCCATATGGCCTACCTTGGTGTGAGTCCTGCATCTGGTGGCTTTGCTTTCTCACTTGGTCCCCCCTCTCCCCCACTCTGTCCTCCTCTGGTCAAGTTAAAACAAATAAATATAGGCACCAGCAGTTGGCATAATGGCCATGTCATTGGACTCCCATGTAGTTGACTGCGGTTCGAGTCCCGGACCCGGTGGCTTAAACTCATGCCAGGCGCGTGTGCGTGCGTGCCCAAGATCCCGAGAGGAGAATGGAGGAGAATGGATTGCGGTGTGACCATCCCCCCTGGGGGATGATTTCTCGCTTTCTGTCTCTATGTCTGTCTCTCTCTGTCTTTCTGGCGAGTGCACGCACCCTATGGCAAAAACCTCTCCAAAATAAATAAACAAATAAATAAAAAACAAAGCTACAAATACTGAAGACTAATAGGAGAGGGGACCATGAGATTGTGTCAACAACCAAAACTACAACTAGTTTACATTATCTTTTTTTTTTAGAGCGAGTTTTGACACAGGGTATGTGTGCTCGGAGAAAGAGAAAGTGAGAAATCACCCTCCCAGGGGGATGGCCACGCCGCAATCCCTTCTCCTCCTTTCTCCTCTCGGGATCTTGGGCACGCACACACACGTGCCCGGCATGAGTTTAAGTC